GATGTTTTATGAATAAACGCCTCACAGTTGTAGAAAAGCCCATAATTAGCAACTTTTTCAAAATCGAAAGCTACACTTCCTTCAAGTATAAAATTCAAAGAAGGCATTATTTGCTATCAAACATGTACAATAAATATTTTTACGTCCATGTTTTCCATAAAATATATTTGAATTTATAAAGACAGTCAAAATTAATGATTAAAAAGCATACTATTTAAGTAATCTGTTTTGCCATAGGTACCTTTTGCTAGGAGTCGGAACGACGCTCTTTAAAAGGCTGCATCCTATCAAGACTGAAATCACTTCGGAATAGAATACACAATAATCAATACCACAACTGGAGTCAATTCCGATAGGCGAAAAAGTATAAGTCTTTCGCATATGTCGAAATATTGCATGAACAACGGCGTCTACTGTACGCTTACCAAAATGCATATAGCAGTGAGTGAAGTATATTTCATCCAGGTACACTTGGAAACCTGCAGTTACTCTACTAAGGCCTCCGTGATTCCCATGTTAATACCATAATTCTTGGATGGAAGAATTAAACAGGATTGTGTGTGCTTATTTTGCAGAAGTTTCAACCACCGCTACTACCGAAACCACTGCGTCCACGACGGAGGCGACAGCAACCGGTAAGCTTAAATGTCCATCTAATCCTATTATAAATGAGATGTTCTTACTTCATAACACCCGAAAGGGACCACTTCATTTAACCTTATTTGGCACTTTGAATTGCATTAACTATGAAACTTTCTTATCTTGTCTGCTTTAGTGCCAACTGTAGGAAATTTGAATGCATTGCCTCTAAACGACACCGCCATTCGTGTGAGCTGGACCAAACCACGTCCTGAGAATGAATTCAAAGACGAGTACTACGTTACCATCTCCATTAAGGGTTATAAGCGGAAAATTGTAACCAGTTACACGTCGATCATCGTTGACAACATGGATCTTTCCAAGATGAACAACATCACAGTACAAGCTGTTTGGGCCAATGGCACAGTTGTTTCCAAGGGCGTATCAACCTCCGTGCAGATGCCTTCTACTGGTAATTTGTCATTGGTGTCCGCACGTAGCCCACCCATTGTTAACATATATGATATGAAACTGCAGAATTGCGAATCCTTATACCCGAAGCGACTAACACTATCTGTACAGATCTTATACTTCTTGTGAATGAACAGTATTATGGGGTCATAAAGTATTACTCCGTGGGGGGTCGGGAGTGGGGCCCCCGGATGAAGTGAGCTGATTCCAAGTATGGTGAAATGCGATTGCAACTACATCAATAAGCGTTGCTACGCTTACCAAAATGCATACAGTAGTGAGTGCTGTATATTTCATCAAGGTACACTAGGAAACCTGCAGTTACTCTACTTAGGCCTCCGTGATTCCAATGTTAATAACATAATTCCTTGACGGCAGCATTAAACAGGATTGTGTTTGTGCTTATTTTGCAGAAGTTTCAACCACCGCTACTACCAAAACCACTAAGTCCACGACGGAGGCGACAACAACCGGTAAGCTTAAATGTCCGTCTGATCCTATTGCAAACTAGCGCAAAATCCCGGCTTCCTTGTCCATCGTTGTTCCTTATGTAGGCAAACGGTATAAGTGCAGTATATGAGAAACTCTGAGAAGTATTATGTATAGGGTGATAAGCTCGGAATCCCGGATGCCGCTTTGACTTAATGTATAGTATGTGTCTGCTCAGAAGGAGTAATTTTGGAGAAAAAAAGCGAAGAAAAATCGTACAGGAACTAAAAAGGTATTGTTTAAATGTACAAGTCCGATGGCTGCGCAATCAACTGAATGCAAATATCGGTTATTCATTTAAATTATGATATTTACAATTACTGCCATCGAAAGAGTGTAAACAATGATTTTTGTTAAGTCGGACGGGAGTTTCATTGTAGACGGGATGTGGAGAATCGCAAATTTCTTCAGCCGGAAATAACAGTTGCCTAAAAGGATCATAATTGTTTGTCTGAAGGAAAGTCATCTGGGGCTAGCGAGACCGCGGAGTCAACTGAGGCGGCTACAATAGGTTAGGACTATCGCATTTGTTCTTACATTGAACAGTAGAAAATTTTCTTTCTTAGTGCTAGTTTCTGTGCTTGCGATTTGTATTAATTATCGTCATTTTTGTAGGTGCATCCACTCCCAGTCATCACAATGGCGCCCCTGCTTCCCGGATTTTGGCTTGGAACTGCAACTTCTATCTACTTGTCTGTACTTTACTCGGAC